AACCATTAAGAATTCTGTAGGCTACTATAGCTATTGTCAAAAGAAAAGTCTCCAATGGTGATTCTAAAATCAAGTATTTCTATTTTAACTGTGGCTAACAATAATTAAATCTAAGATTACATACCGGTCGCATCTTACAGAATTTACCTTTTGAAACAAATGTTTTGAAAACCTTCACTTCTTAAGTTTGTTATTTAATAATGACTATTAACTTCTACTAATAATGTTAATTACATTTTTCTAACTTCACCTCAACCAAATTTAAACCTCAGTAAATTATCAGATGAAGTAGGCTTCGCTCAAGCTTTGTTTACGCATCAGCTGACTCACCTTTTCATCATTAAATATAAATTAGGAATTGAATGAAACACTTATAATGCACCCACCTCCGAAATCCAGGGTTCTACCACAGGGCAGACTCGCACTCTCAAACAGAATGATCTGTGTTACTCGATTCAACGAGCAGGTACAGGTGAGCCAATGTTTATGCCATCATTTCAAGCTTGTGGTTAATCATTTCGTTCAAACAAATTTGCAAACACATAACTCATAATCTTCTAATCAAGTGACGATTATTCATTTGATAAATACCTAAATAATTATCTAATTATTGATCAACAAATCATAGGATTTCAGAAACCGTGTTTTATACATAAAAGAAAAATTATTTGTTCGATAAAGCCAAAATGATGTAATTACAACTAAATTACAAACTTAAAATACTACTATTCTACTTTCACTCATTGATAATGCATATAAAACTTATACTGCAAACATATACATACATTACTGTTTAATAAAGAATAGTAGAGTAAAGGCAACAACCGTAAGCATCTTTCATGTGTAGTTCCGAAACGTTCATTGAAGTTGTGTATAAAAATATTTTCAACACCTTTACTGTCGGCAAATACGTTATGTTGCACCCAGCAGTACATTGGAAATTTTATCGTGAGAAACAGAAGCTTAATTTACAAATTCTCGCGACTTACGTGACTGTTGATGAATGCGTGATAAGCTATTACCTATAACAAAACCACGTGGTTCCTCAGCTGAATACAAATTAATTGAAATCGGATGCATTGTCAAAAAAAAAAAAAGAAAAGAAAAAATTCTAATTTTGGAAAACTGATAATTTATACAGTTTAAATATGAATTTCATTTTTACATACCTGTAACATCATACAAACAAGGGCCCATAGTGTGCATGAGGACGGATAAATGTTATGCAGATAAGAACAAAAAAAGTCACTTCTTATTAAATGTTACTTCAGCGCTAAATATCCAAGATTTTTGAAATAATATATATATACATGTTTGCAGTACTATTCTTGGGTGGGAGGGGAATCATTTATCGGAAAAGAGACTGCTTGTTTGTTTGGTATGAATTTCGCGAAAAGCTAAACAAGGGCTATCTGCGCTAGCCGTCCCTAATTTAGCAGTGAAAGACTATAGG